TATTGACTCTGGTCACAGCACTAGGAGACCTTCATTTGTTTCTATTCTGATGGACACTTTCTCTTTCAGGAAGCCTGTAGCATTGTTTGTGAAAAGGGCTGATACTCTTTTAGGTTATGCAATGGCTGGTGTGATACCTGTGTGTGATGGACTGGTGTGTAATGTTTTGCTTCTGAAATGAGAGACAAATCTGAGGATGGTCTTGAACACAGTTGCAGAGAAAGAACAAATATCAAAGTTTAATGGGAACCCAGGTTTCCTGATGGTAACTTGTTGTGCTAACAGCAGATTCATTTGTTTCCTAATTAATCAGAAGGAGTGTTCTTTTTATTTCAGCCATCTGGTGGAGAGCATGTTGTTTAGCTTCTTGCTACTGCAAATTGGAGCTACACAGGAAAAAGGATGTTTCAACTTCTGTTTTTGGCTTGTTTTTCAAGGTTGAGTCAGTATAGAGCACGTTGAAACATACAGTAATCAGTTGCAAAGTTCAGCTTTCAAGGACTGCAAAAACTTAACTTAAATTGTCCTTCCTGAAAGGACAAGATGGTGATATTGATGATTTAATTGCTTATTATTACTTGTTTTATTCCACATAATCAATCATCAAGACAAAAGCAAAATTTCCTTAGTGAACTGCAGAACTATTCTAGGATACCAAATTTGTTATCACTTTGTAGAGAACATTCAATGTCGCTTTTACATTTCTTCTTTGGATTAATGTCAAAAGCATATTGCCTGTCAAACAATTTGTTGTTGAGTGTGCCATTAGCTTGCTAACTCCTCGCAAGGATTTTAAAACATTGCATTTTTTTCCCTCCAGAAGTCCCTTTAGTGCAGCCTTTCTTTAGAAGGTATATTGTTCTTGTGGAATATTTTCTGAGGAGCAGTCTGTCCCTATGCGATGTTTACTGTATTTTTGCCTTGCAGCCAGCAGATTTTAGTACAAACTTGCCTGGGGGTGGCCTTGTCCTATTTTCCTCTTAGATGGTTCTGGCATTTATAGAGCTTGGGAGATCGTGCTTCTGAATTTTTCAGTCTGAAGAGCTCGAGCCAAAACAGCAGGGGAGATAGCAAACCTGTACGTTGTTTGGCTTACAGCAGCTGGGCCTGTTTTTCCTTTGACCTAAAGCAATGGCAGCTTTTCTTGGGCTTTGGATGGAGGAGGGGGAAAGTGAAGAAGAAGAAAGCTACGTGAGGAAAACTGCTTTATCTCTGTGCTTGGAAAAAGCAAGCCTTACCCCTGGCCCCACCCAACAATACTTCATTTTGCACCCCTAGCAAAGGTATCTCCAAGCTACTTTTCCATTGCATGTAGAGATTTAGTTGATTTGTGAATACTGATGGTTCATAGGAGAAGAAACTGTGCTTTTTTGTAATATTGCATTAAGATATTTGCAAAACAAACTCTTCTTATGTTGCAGTACCATAGTGCTTGCAGATTGCACTTTTGTATTAGAGGACTGGCATCTTTGCAGTTTTCAGTGATATTTGATAGCTTCCCACCAACGTGTATTTTCTCCCTTATGTCTTGGTCACTGAAAAAAATACTCTTGCGAAGTAGGGCCCAGAGTCTCCACTGGGAAATGAACTGTGATGAATGATTGTGGGAAAATATGAAGTACCCTGTAGATGGGTGCCTCAGAGAACATAATAAGTCTTCTGGTTTGGCCTTGTGCTTGAAGAACCCTTCTTGTCTGTAAACACTGTCTCTGAAGTCATTCCTGCTACATGAGGTTTCCTGTGGAAATACATTTCAGTGTTGCTGCTTTTGACGTGTTCTAGTCTTATATTTATCAGCAGATGTTTCAGTTAAGTTTTGCATTTATGTAACAGAAATATTTAGTTGTGCCACAGAGTGAATTTTTTCTTAGAGGAATGGGTTTGCATGTGATTGTTGGAATCTTGAGCTTATGAATTCCAGGAGCATGGAGGGTTCCCTAAAAAGTTTGTGAGAACAACAGGGAGTGTTGAGGCTTAGTACATGTTTGAATTGCAACACAGAAGAACACACAGCATGTGTGTACCAAGAATTTCCAAGGAACTCCCAGTGATTAAACCAAATTAAAAAACATCATATGTCTGAAGATTGATAGGATTCCTGTCTGTATGTCTGCACTAGTGCAGGACAACCGGGAGACAGATCCTGATCCTCCTCAAGCTGAACATAAGGGGAAAGAAAAAATTTCATGCTTCTCCGTGTTTTAATGTTTTCTCCGTTTATGTTACCACATAGTTTTTCCTTACAGATATGTGTGGATCTTCATGATATCTGTTGTAGGTGAAACTGTTGTTTCTGCTGTAGTTCTGGCAAGGGATGGCAGTGCAGAAGCTACATGGCTGCTCCTTTTGAGAGGAAGCTGTTGACCAGCTTCACAGTGCAAATTCTTATCCAGAATAAGAATTTTCTTAATTGGCAGCTTTGATGAATTTCCCTCCTCCCCTCTTGTCCCAATTTGCAACTCTCTGAGTTGGTCAATCATATACCTAAATCATATTTCATCCTAAAGGGAATATTATTTGGACCTTTAAACAGATGCAAGAAGCAAGGAGAACATTAGAGCAGGTGCACGTTAGCTTAGAGCTTTCTCTTTGGGATAAGAAGGGTTAGCAGAAAGTTGATGCAGTAGAACCAGCGTCTCCAGTCTGTCTTGGCTGAGCATTGTGAATGCCTCAGGCTGTCAGAGTGGGACAGGAAGGAGCTGAGCCTTTAGAAAAATATGCTGGCTTCAGAATCATTAGGTATTACGTAGACAAGTAGTCCAAATTTGCCTAACTGTTCTATATTTGTTTTCCTCTCTTCTTTCCATTCAGCAAGTCCAAGTTGCAGTATGAGGCTTTCTTTCCTTCACAGATCAGTTTGTTACTAGTCACCTGACTGAAAGATCCTAATGTTGCAAGTTTCATTCTTTGTGCATAGGGAGATGGTTTAAATTAGATACATTAAAAAATAAATCATACTCCATTCTGATGTGATAATTTATCTGATTTTCCTTTCATAATCACCTTTTTTCAGTACTTTTTTTTTTGTCTAACATGAACTTTTTCTACTTTTTGTTGCATTTTGTTCTACAAATCTCAGTAGTGAATTGTCTTCCTCTTTTTTTAATGATTGTCCAAATTCTGAAGGCAAAACACAGACGACTAAGTTCCCTCTTGGACTTTAGTACTACTCCTCATCTTACTTTGTCACTAAATGTAATAATTTCTATAATTTGTCTTCTGATATTTAATACTTCTGTTGCCCTTAGGATAGATTTTCTTTCAATGTTAAACTTACTCATGGAGGCTGTAATCACGACTTACTAATTTCTCTCTTCTTTTAATGTTCTCAAGAATGTCTTCCTTAACATTAGTTAGCAGATCTGGTAGATTTTTTACTGGTATTAATTGCTGCATAACCAAGTGCCCTTGAAAGTCAGTTATGTAAATGAACAGCCTTGAGCTGGCCATAAGAATGAAGCTGGCTTGAGTTTTAATTTAATAATTGAGGAATTGGAACATAAAATGGTTCTTTAAATCTAAAATAGGATAGAGTCATATTCTTTATTAGACAAATTCTAATTGCATGAACTATATCAGCAGTTTAACATTTAGTTTAGGTGATCACTTTGCATGCAGGTGAGCACTTTATATGGTTATTAATAGGAAAAAGCCTTGCATTTGGTTGCCTTAGGTAATTTTAGTTCAGTATTTTGAAAGAAATTACTAGTTTGTTGTGGCTTTAAAATAACAAGTAGAGTCTTTCTTGGAATATATTCTTTACATCTGTTTTTTTCCTTTCTCAAGTTAGCGATCATAAAAGTTGCTGTAAAAATTCATATATTTTTCCTGAATATGCGTCATACATGAATCTCTTGCCTTATTAAAAAGTACATGAGTTCTGGACAGTGGAGGGCAGGTACATCATGTCCCTTTGGGTAAAAGTTATTTATTGTTACATGCAATATATGCAAAAACTGGTGGATGCGACGTTATTTGCAAATACAAGCTTGGCAAACCTCCTCTGGAATTCGGAAAGGGTTTTCCAGCTCGACTTAGTCATTTTTTCCCAAATGTCTTGGCATAACTGATCACTCAGGAGTGACATATGGTAGAAACATGCTCTAAGGGACAAGTCTCCCGGATGGCGCACAGCACCACACAAGATAGACAGATGGTGGCTTATTCAACCTTGGAAAAAGTTTAATCCTACATATTGGCACGTCAGCCTGGGTACTGAGAGAGAGGCACACACATGCCTGTGAAATCTGAGGCAAAGCTTTTGTGAGTTTGCTTGCTGTTACTGAAAGAACTAGAAAGATTGAGCTGATACTATGCTGTATGAGTATCTGCAAATTAACAGGCTCAACATGCTATCCAGAAAAAGTGATGTTCCCTAGAAAAGTGGAAATCCCAGAGGTAGCAGAACACTGCAGAGAATAAAATTTGCTGAACTTTTCACAGCTGTTTCTAGATTAAAACATGTTTATTCAACAAAGCTGGTGAGTACTTACCTTAACTTATTCACCAATAGCTCTTGATTAATTGAAGTGTCTAATAGGAGAAAGGGTATTTTACATTTTTCATGGTTTTACTTCTGTTTCAGGGCTTGGTACAGGTTTTGTGAAGCATATTACCACTTCACAGCACAGAAACTATAACCTTTCTCTTAGGTAGGTTCAAACAAAAAGTTACAAATTTCCTGATGGTAAATTTGAATTTATAGCAGAAAATGAAAACTGTACATTGCAGTTTTTTTCCTAAATAATAAGAAGAAATCAGACCTTTCACTCTAATATCTTTTTGTTTAAGACAGCAAAGAGAGGGACAGAATATTTGACATGGAGTTATAAATCTGCTTTGAATTCTTTCTGGAAACCAAGTAGTGGTTGATTGATTGATTGATTGAATGAATTTCTGGAGTCAGGGCTGTGTTCAGTAAGGATTTTGAAAATCCTGACCCACTGAGAAGATAAAGAATTACCTGCCAAACTTTTTCCCCCATTTTCTTTTTCTTGTAGATCACACTCCATATTCACAACTAGAAGGAAAAGGAAGAATTTCCTGACTCTCTGAATTTCAAGGATGTCATTATGTTGTATTGGATGAATTTAAACTAGACAAGACTTCTTTTTGAAACACTTCAAGAAAGGTAAATATGATTCAGACAAGCTAATCTTTTGCCAGTAGAGGAATAGTTTGGTCAAATTAATCACATTCTGGTAACATTTCAGTCATACTGTACCACAACAACGTGATCTTTCGTTTATGTGTTTTAGGTGTTGATGTGTTTGTATAGATACATATCCATATATGTAGCTGTAACTAAACCTTTTTTAGACGTTGGAAGATTTTGATTTGTCAACCCTTGTATACTTTGTGTAAATATACTTGTTTCAAGCAATTCTCTTAGGTGAAAGAGGTGGAGAAGGAAGAGGGGAGAGAAATGAGATGCCCACAGTAGCCAGCATATTGGTAATTACTTGCATGGATGTGGAAGACCCAGTTAATGTTTCTATTCTGCCTCGTGAGAAGAATTACTTGAAAATGAGATCCTAGTCAGTGAACTATAAAGTCAAATGGCTCAAGCAGCATTGATTGACACATACATTTAAAATACAGTGTGGTTTGAGAGACACAGAGGGAGCTGCAAAGACAGGGACTAATTCAGTAAACTATTCAGGATATGCATTGAAGAAGTAAGAGATGTCAAATTCTTGCATTCAGCTGAGGGTGCTCTTGTGTAATATGAAGATGTGCTTATTTTTGGGCTAGCATAAACAAAGATTCACTCATCCTGTGGATGTGAGTACCCTTCAGGTATTTTATTTTTTGTCACCCTTTTCTTTCTTTTGCTGTGCATCATTGTGAGAAATGGTGACCATAGCATAGCCAACCTGAAGGCCTACAGTAATTGCTGCAGAACTAGTGTGCTTTTTCCATTTTACCTTTTTCTGTCTACTATAACTAACTATTATAAGACTTAGTAAATAAAAATTTTAATAATTCTATTTTGTGCTCAAGTGCACAGTCAGAAAAATGTGACAGACATCAGTTTGCTCTCTTCTAGACCCTAGAAGAGTTTCTTATATACCTCACAGAAGCAGTGAGTGTTTTGGTGACCTATCCAGTCCTCTGAGACAGAGTCCTACCTTGGTGTCAGGGAACATGCCTGTGGGCCTTCCAGACATCATACATTTATGTGAGAGAGAACTATAATCTGATGAGATGATTAAAATTCTGCAGATTCACAGCTGACACCTTTTCGACCCACATCTTAAGTTCAGACTCGGAAATACTTCAGTCCCTTGAAATTTTAGGTCATGCTTCATAGAATTGCTGTTTTCATAATTTATAGGCTGAGTGTGATCCTATCATTGTTGGATTGCTGAACGTCGGTGTGTGTGAATCAGCTATCTGCTGTCAGGGCTGAGTCTTGTATCTCCCTGGCCAGTCACAGTGGAGGTCATTAAACCATGACGAGACTTTGTCAGATGGGAATGGTTCAAGGGAACAATATGGCTGTGTCCAAAAAAACCCACTTCTGCTTACTGGTCATAATGACATTTAGAGGACTGAAATGGAGAAAGAGAAGTTTTAATAGAGGAATGGAGATTTTGTGAAGACAGAGGTGTGAAAGGCTTGGATGTTTGAAAGGCACAAAGACTGCTTTTGTAGCAGGCTTTTGAGTTAATCCTGGAACCAGATGAGGAATAGAGAAACTATCTACATAGGAGAAAAGCAAACTTCAAGATTTGGAAGAGAAGCTGCATGGATTCCTTGGGTCATTGACCTAAGAGTGGTAAGGAAGCAGATATAAAATGCATGTATGTAGTCTCATTTTATTTTGTCTAGACTTGCATACCTTGTACACTTCCCAAGTGGAGAGTGATTTGGTATTTTGGAACTTGTATGAAGCTTGTTCATGTTTTGCTTCCACCAACAAATATCCTGGAAACCCAGCACACCTGCAAGGTTAGATCCTTGTGTTAAACTTGCTGTGAAATCTGGGCAGGATGTGGGTTAGCACTAATGATGGGATCCTGTGCCATCTTGCTCTGCCAGGTCCTGTTTCTTTGGAGATACAGTAGTCAATACCGAAGAAAAGTCATGCAGAAACTAAGAAAAATATTTAGCAGGAAATAACTGATCCAAACCAATGGAGACCAAAGATGGTTGAGAAAGGCCAGACACAACTGTATGTGCACCAGTGGGGATTTTACCGTACTAGTTCATGCAAATTGCTGCTGGGCTATTGAGAGTGATTCTGAAGGTAAGGTTGAGCTGAAACTTTAAAAATCAGGACTAAGACATCTTGCTGCACACCTCATGGAATATATTTAGGCTTTATTGGTTGCTGCTGGTTCAAAAATGTACTCTCAACAGGTGTAGCCAAACAGGAGGAAAGAACAATTTAAAAATCCTTATGTATGCAGTGATCTAGTGGTAGAAAAATGTGAAGTTGTAATTGTCTTCTATACTTCCCTCCCTCCATGTTGGGAGAATTATTTTTAGATACTAATTTTTAATTTAGTATTTAGGCTCCTTTCTTTCTTCTCCTCCCCCCCAAAAATCCCCTCAGACTCCGATGGTTTAAAAATGATACCATGCAGAGTTGATGTAACCGTATGTAGGTTGTGCACTGGAGGTGTGATGTACCTCTCTTAAAATCTTAAATGCAGGTAAAGCTGAAAATGGCTGCGTTCACTTTTATGCTGTTTATCCCCCTTTGTTCTCTCTCCCTCCCCCTTCTGCTTGTGCTCACTTGCTCTCTCTTTAGTATAACACAGTTGAACAGCAGTGAAGTGTAAAATGTGCTTTTGCCAAGGTCAGTTTCTTGTGATTACTCGCCTGTGGCAACTTATGCCAGTTGCAACAGACTGAGTCTCAGCAGTCCACAAAGTCACACTGGTGCTTATGCAGAGGACACCCAGTGTAGGTTATAGTAACCGTAGTCTGGAATAGCTTGCAGTGCTGCTGAATTTTAGCTGCTTTATTTAACTCTTCCGATGTAGCTTGTGCTTGCTTCAGTGGTTTGGAGTCTGTTCCATGAAACACTGGGCTGTCCTGTACTCTGGAGACCCTTCAGGAAGATTTTGGGTAGATTAAATTCTTGTTGTTAGAGGTTGTTTCTTTTCTTATGGTGGATTGCTCAAATTTCAGGAATTATTCATAAATGAAGAGGAGATAAAATAAAGCATCATGGACACATGCATCTTTTTTTTGTGATCGACTTGCTTTTGGAGAAAGTCTTATCAAATACTGCCCTATTGACATTGACACAAGAGAAAATGGATATCTACATAGTAAGAAGTATTATAGAAAAATATAAGAAGTAGTTTTAAAGCAAAAATTTAAAAGATGATGACTTAGTCTTGGTACTCTCTTTAAAAATGTTGTACACATTCATAAACATCAAATAATTTTTTGTTTAAAAGCTAAAAATAATTTTGACTCCTGTGACGGGGGAATGAATGTGAGATTCCAGAACATTTGTTTTAGGAGATAAGAGTTGTTGGATCCCATTTTGTTGTGCACATTGAATGTGGAAGTGATAGGAACCTCCACTTTCATTCTCCTTTCTTACGGGAGGAACCATATCCCTTTATGGAAAAATGCTATATTTAGAACGGAAAAGCAAAGACTTCCTGTGTTGTTGGCTTATTTGTACTATCAACAATATATATGATTTAAAATTCATTCTGGAAATACTTACTTCTGAAAGAAACGTTTACCTCGAGCTGTGTGATAGTGACTTTGAGGTTACCTGTTTATCACTACTGACGAGTAGAGAGGCAGTAAAGAAATCTAGATGATCAGCTGAAGGGTAGAGCTGAACTTTGGTGACCTCTGAAATTCAGTTAAGTCCAAAATTTCATTGCTTAAAATTGATTATGCATTTGATTAATTTTGAAAATATGTGTTGCTGTACTAAGCGCTACTCTCTCATGTTTGCTTTGGAGTGATTCCTGAACACAAGTAAAATAATGGCTCAGCAATTGAGTCTTGATTCTATAAACACCCTTGCACAAAGCACACAGGAATATTCCTGTTGTGCTTAGTGAAACTTCCCACAAAACAAGGTGAGGATTCAGAATTCAAGTCATTTGAAGCTCCTTATGAGGGGTTAATCCTGTGTTTTCTGTTTAGTCTTGCTTTCAGGTTTACAAGAAGTATTTTTTATCAAGGAATATGTTACTTGTTGCTTTTTTGCCTACATGAAACACAGTTAAATTAATATTTTGTTTCAAGAGTGACATTTGCTTTTTTGGTTTTCATAACCTATATGGTTCTACTGCTATTCCAGACCCTATTCCTTTGCTTTTAATAATGTTTGTATTGGCCCAGCTCTTACGGAAGAATATGCTATGAGAGCTGTGTTTAGACTTTGTGAAGACTGATCTCTGTACTCCCTTTTAAGTTGAAAGTTTATGGTGAAGATTAGCAGTATATTGTGTGTCTATACTGTGGTATATAGGCCTGTAGTACTTAGAGTGATAAGTGTTGTCTTCTAATTGTTAGAACAACAGTGGAAATGAATGTTCCCTGTAGGAGGAAGCAGCTGTACTAGAAGAAGCTGGTCTTCAGTCAGCTGAGAAATGAGCAAATGGATGTTCTTGGGTGCGGTAGTATAGAAAAGCTGCATTGTCTGTGCTCACCGGAACCTGTCACAATTATTTCCTTTTATCTCAAGGAACTTGAGGAAAGAACTATTCAGGCACCAAAGTTTTTTCTGGAACATTCCTAATGATGCTCCTGCAGTGGGTTGCTGCTGCTGCCTGCTCTGAGGATTTCCTCATCAACACATTAAACACGAGCAAGCAGTTGACAATTGAGATGGAAGAAGTCTGCACAAAACCCTGAACTCGTTCAAATCTCCAGGCAGAGCTCCTAACTGACTTTTAAAAATTCATTAGAACTTCACTATTTCCCAAGTTCTCACCTCCTGGGTTCTGGGTGATAACAGAAATGCTTTGCTGCACGCAATAAATGTAGATGTTGTGGATATTTTTGGACAGGTGAAATTCCAGAGCCCTTGACGTCTTTCAGGATTTGCAGCCATAATTTTGTTTTTTAACTCATGGGTGGAGATCTGAAAGCTTGTTAAGGGATTTATTCATACAATTCCTACTAGTTTTAAAGGAAGTTCTC